CAGTGCATATGTTGGCCAGTAATCCTTCAGCTCTAAAATGTACTCCCAGGTTTTTTACAAAGAATATCAAGCTAGTCCAGGGTTTCCCAAACATCCAGCTATTTTTGGACTAAAATTCCCACCATCCCTGACCATTGTGATGTTTGTGCAACGTCAAACCCCGCCCCCAATCTCCTTCTCAAGTCAGCGTGTCTGATACCTATTCATTTGTGCCCCAAATTTACTAGGCTTCAGACAAGCATTCTGTTTTTCATACTAGGTTGAAGTCTTAAAATGTGGGATAATACTGTTGAGCATGTACAGCTGGGATGGGCAACCTTTTTGAAGATATATTTCCATGTTTTCACAATGCGCCACTGTGGTAATATTTGAAAGACCGAAACTAGGTAGAGGGTGACTACCACACACACCTCATTATAATGGATAAGTGGGTGGAAATCCCCTAGACAATACTAAGACACTCCTACAATTTCCAGCATTAGCATAGTGGCATAAATTAAATACATGCAACATAATTTCCATGTCTTCATCCCATAGCACCTTGATAGCATTTGAATGTCCATGGTAGCATACAAAATATTGCAAATAGGTGGAGGATCTATCAGATGTAATTATAGGCCTCATTTCCCAGTCTAGTGGCAATTGGATGGATGCACATAGGTCATGGAATGCACCATCATGCTCCTTGGCCCAGTATTCCTGAAGGATAGTCTCCACCTCCATCATTCTGCTTGGACACTGAGGTCCAGCTCCGAAAGCCTTCTGGCGGTTCCCTCACTGCGAGAAGCTAGGTTACAGGGAACCAGGCAGAGGGCCTTTTCAGTAGTAGCGCCCGCCCTGTGGAACACCCTCCCATCAGATGTCAAGGAAATAAACAACTATCTGACTTTTAGAAGACATCTGAAGGCAGCCCTGTTTAGGGAAGATCTCTCTGGCCACCACTTCCTTTTGGGTATCTGGCAGCTGGGCTCCAGGGTGCCTTCCAGACCTCCATAGCCAGTGCTTTCTTTCTGGGGGGACACAGGGGTACACATATACCAAAAGATTTTGTAAATCTCTGTACTGTTGTTCATTTAATGTATTTATTTTTTTCTCGATTTGAACTATAAGATGCTGATTTTTGTGAGTCAAAATTAAAGTACCACTAAACATTTTTTTAGAAAAAAAGCACTGCCCACAGCATCTCACCAGGCAGGGTTTCCACCTCAATGACTTTTCTCTACAAGGGGACTTATCATGTCCTCTGCTTGCAGCTGCTTTATTTCACTGAAGCACTGGTTCTGCCACTACCCCATCTGGTCAAGCCACTGGCTTTGTCATTGCTCCATTCCCTCATGCTGCCTTTGCTGCTTTAGCATCAACTTGAATTGCTCAAAAAGTGTTGCTGGCACTGTCATCCAATAAAACAGAATGTTGGAAAATCCATGCCAGTCAAAAGGAAGTACATTTTGGGGCCTTGAAGTTTGAACTCTTATGGAGGCCCCTTTCTATCCAACTACATGGAAGAAGAAAAAACCTCTGTTCAGATGCCCCAAACTACTTCTTTTTTTCCAACTCCATTTGTGAACACCAATATTAAGTTGATGATTCCTTACTCCTGCAATTGGGAAAAGGGCTGTAATTAATTCAAGTACTTGGCAATGCTCCTCCCCGAGGATTTTCAGTGGACAGAAGCAAAAATAATAGCACAATGTATGAAGGATAATATAAATATTCACTTTAATAATTAGTTGTAGAAGCAGGGACTCAGAAAAAACAAAGAAACTACCTCTTTGATTCTCCTGAGAGGGAATAGAACAATCTGTGTTTAGAGACAAAATTAGTACTCAGGATGGTGATATTAGTTGTCTTGATACTGGTACTACTTCCTCACGTGGCATGCAAGCCTCACAATAACTGCATGGTAAGAGCTCCACACAATCCACTTCAAGAGTATCATCAGTTGGGAGGCAACATAATTGGTGGCATCACTTCTCAGACCTTCATAATCTCCAACTCGCTAACCTTCATTGAAGCACCTCCACCCGTGTTGTTTGAAGAGCTTGTGTAAGACTTTGTTATTGCTATTGTTTGCTGTTACTATTTCTGTTTGCATTAAGGATGTGAATTTCTGTCTTTCCCCAAGTTTGTCAAAGAATTTTCAAGTGGTGAACTTTAAATACTAATTTAATTATATTCAGAATGGAGACAGATTAAGTTCATCCGGTTTTGAAAATACTAGTGATGGCTTCCTCCACTTAAACATTTTAGAAAGTACTATCAATAGGGCAGAAATATTAATGATAATTGATAAACTATCTTAATTTGTATCATTTTTCTTATACAATTTCAAAATGTCTTTGTAAGAGAGCTGGGGGGAGTGTTTGTTGAATTTAAAGCTAAGTATTTATATATTTGTAAATAATAAGGAAGGAGATGTCAAGGGAGAAGCAACAGTTTTACAAGACATGGAAGTTTCTCCAAATACAGAATACAACTCTAATTCTAGTGCAGTTATCACCACACTCTGAACATGTTCTTAAAATGTAGATTTCACCTTAAACTTATAAAGTGTTCTGTATTCTGAGGCATTCTTAAGAAACGATCCAGTATTGTCATAGAATTAGATAAATATCAAGAATGGGAGTAGGTGTTCACATGCATCAAATATATCCTTCTGAAAATGTCAAATCGTATGGTTTGTGATAACACACGGAACTTTATATTGGTAATTTATAAATAAAGTATATTGAGTGCATTGTTGTAAAGGAGAATACAGTTGTCTAAGATATGAGCAACCCACCAAAGGCTAAGCATTGCCTAAAGAACGTTTGTACACAAATACTGTAAGGAATAATAAGGAAGGAGATGCAGGACAACATAGTCTACATTTTACAATGTTTGGGATATCCTAATAATCTGTACTCTTTTTTAGTGTAGTGCCTAAGTATTACCAGCACATCCTGGCTTTGGCATTTGCTGTAAAGGAGATAAATAAAAACTCTCAGATTTTACCCAATACTTCCTTGGGCTTTCACATTTATGACAGTTACTTCAATGCAAAGAATACCTATCATGCCACAATGCAGCTTATGTCATCAAAAGAAAAAATAGTTCCCAACTACATATGTGACGTCCAGAATAAATTAATAGCGGTTGTTGGGGGACTGGAGCCTCTAATTTCTCGTTATATTGCAACTGTCTTGGATATCTACAAGATTCCACAGGTAGGTTGTGTAGATGTCTCTATCTGTATGTTGAATATGGGATTTCATCCATTTAAATGCTTATTTTCACCACACAGACAAGATTGTGGGTGTGGAAATTGAAGTGAGTGAAATGTGTAGGAATGTCAAATGGAAGGTCAAGTACAGATAATCAAAAATGTGAGTACTGGAAATGTAACAGCACCTGTAGAAGAAAGTAAGCTGTCTAGTGATGGCAGGTCAATGGAAAGGAGGAATTTCAGCAATAATTGCAGCCAGAGGCAATGAAAGGAGACCAATCCCCTGACCTGTTGTAAGTAAGATGGCAGGCAGGGGAAACAGCTTCCATTGAAAATCTTGTGTTTGTAATTTAAAACTTACACATCAACTTTTTGAAGAAAGGGATTCTGTGGGACAACGTTTGGCTCCTATTTGTTTGTTTGTTTGTTTGTTTGTTCATTCATTTATATTTCCTTTTATTTAGCTCATATATGGCCCTGCTCCAGTGATGAATGATAAAACCACAGGCCTTTCCTTCTACCAAATGTCTCCTAAAGATGCTCTTCAGCATGCAGGCATTCTGACTTTGCTTCTCCATTTCAATTGGACATGGATTGGGATCCTTACATCAAATGATGAATATGGAGAAAGATTTGTGCGGACAGTGTTTCCAGTATTCTCCAGAAAGGGTATTTGTTTTGCCTTCATAGAAAGAAGCGGTAAATTTACCATTGTCACAGAAATTAATGACAAGCTACATGAGCGAGCCAAAATATATGATAGAATCATTGAAAGCAAAGCCAATGTAGTGGTTGCTAATGGAGAATCCTATCTCATTGTGTTTTTGAGGTGGCTACAATTTATCTCAGATAGAGAATGCACAATGAATAAAGGAAAAGTGTGGATAGTAACAGCTCAGATAGAGCTCACTTCAATGGTGTATCAAAGAACTTGGGATACAGATATAGTCCATGGTGTTCTGTCCTTCTCTATGCACTCCAGTGATCTACCAGGATTCAAGACATTTATTGAAAGCAAAAGCCCTTCATTCACAACAGGAGATGGCTTTATCAGGGATTTCTGGCAGCAGGCCTTTGGTTGTGTATTCCCAAGTATAGATGGGGACAAGGTGGATGGAGATATTTGCACAGGAAAAGAGAAGTTGGAAAGTCTTCCTGGGACATTTTTTGAAATGAGCTTGACTGGCCACAGCTATAGCATCTACAATGCTGTTTATGCTGTGGCACATGCTTTACACTCTATGTCTTCATCTCGACTGAATCACCACTCATTGGTTGATGGAAGGTGGATGAACTTTCAGAATCAGCAGGTGTTGCAGGTAATGGGATGATGTTCCTCCTGTTGGAAGGCAAAATACAATAACATATAACAATATGTTAACATATAACATATAACAATATGCTCCAATCAGATCCTTCTTGTGGGCTTCCCGTTGACATATGGTTGGGCATTGTAAGAACCATACACTGGACTAGATAGGCTTTTGGACTGATCTAGCAGGTCTCTTTTTATTCTGTCAAATAAAAGGTTTCCCCAAACTAGAGTTGTCATATTAGAAAAAGTGAAAATCCAGTTTACAAAAACCCCCTGCTGAACACAATTTTTGAAGGACGAATTCTATCTATATCTGAGAAATTCCAGACATATGGCATCTCTATCCCAAACTATGTCCATCAGCTCCTTTCCATCTTCTTTCTCTATATTAGTGTTGGCATGTTCTGAGATTATAGAATTGTAGAGCTGGAAGGGGCCACTAGATTAATGTAGTCCAACCACTGTAATGCAGAAATCTTTTGCCCAACGTGGGGCTGGAACCCACAGCCTTGAGATTAAGAGTCTCATGCTCATCCAACTGAGCTGTTTCCCTCTTTTTGTAATGGTGAACTTAAAGTATTCACATTATTCTTTTGCTGCTATACATTTGCCAATTCATGCTAACTCTGGTTCATGCTGCATTTTGGCTCACAGAAACTGCCACAACTACATTTTGAGGCCCTTAAGAAAAGTCTGTATTTGGAAATTGGTTGGAAGTCTTCTTCTTCTGTGTTTCTCTTTTGATTCAGTTGGGAGAAATAGGTGGTATATTGCATTTTTAAAGTAAATAAATAAATATTTTTCCATGGGTGAGGAAGCAGGCAGTATGGCAGAGAATATGCAATGATTCTTGGACTAGTGTGGTCTTAATATTTGTAGGATGGGTGTTTAGCTCCTAAGACTTGTCTCCTAGATGGCTGTTGGGATGCTGCTGGTAAGAGGCTTTCTGATTCAGTAATGTTGTGTGTAGAAGAGGCCGGTATCATTTAGAAGGTGTCCAGTAGAAGCAAGATAAAACCTTTGAAACTCTACAACTACAGCCAGAATCCAGTTTACTAAGGGCAGCTTTGAGCTCTGCTATGTTTTTGGACCTTTAATGTTGAATAAGTTTAGGAAGTGTTTCATTAATTGTATACAGTGAAAAAGGCCATCAATTTAGAAAATACATTTGATATGTAATTTAAAGCTCATTATTTAACCTTTAAAACACTAAATGGCTTTAAATCAAGTGGGCCTAGCCAAAAAGGGAAAGTCAGGCAACTGCCTTAGGTGCCAGGATCCACCGGGGCAGCAGATCCTGATGTTGGTATTTCTTTCCCCTTTGCTCCTATTGTATATCTTCTTTCACCCGTTCTTCCCTGGTACCGTTGTGGAGTCCTCTAATTCAGACTTGAAGTTAAAGATTCACCCCACATGAGATTCAAACTGGCAGGTCAAGACTCACCCCACATGAGATACTTCTTAAAAACAAGAATACTGCAATGAACAGTTATTTGAAGAATGTCACATCAACTTTCACATGTCTGAGCATGAAAACAAAGAACTGTGTTGCTTCCACCCAGGGAAGATGTTTGTATGACTTACTGTGAAAGATTCCACAGAAATGCAGCCTCTCCTAAGCTTCTTTTCCTTTTCAACTCAGCTCCATCACTTTCTGAAAATTGTCTCCTTTAACAACAATGCTGGAGACAAGATCTCCTTTGACCAGAATGGGGAGTTAGTGACTGGATTTGATATTATAAACTGGATTATTTCCTCAAACCAATCCTTTCATAGAGTGAAAGTTGGGAGAATGGATCCCCAGGGTTCTCCGGACCAAGTGTTCACCATCAACAAGGATGCCATCACATGGCACAATTGGTTTAATCAGGTAGGATTCAGTTGGGAACTGCTTGGGAAACCATTCAATTTCATTGAATGGACAATGTTCAGCCCATGACAAATACCGAGTTTTGATTAGAAATGATACAACTTATGTAGAAAGTAAGACTAAAAAAACATCTGCACTGTTTCCTTTGCTGTTGAATATATTAAATGTGTTGAAAAGAATAAACATATGTTTGTGCTAGTCTGATTACAAACTCAATGCCACAACAGGCAACTAGATGTCTATGAAGAGACTGAAAGCAGAACCTGAGTGCAGCAGAGTTCTTCCCACTTGCAATTTCTAGAGATTGGTATTCAGAGCCTTGTTGCTTCCAATGGTTGAAGTAGAAATTAGCTAGTAGCCCTTGATAGCCTTATCCTCCATGAATTTGTCTAATCCTTTTTAAAGGCCTCCAGGTTTATAGCCAGTGCTAACTTTGGTGAATTTTAGAGTTTAACTATGTGTTGTATGAAGAAATACATCGTTTTGCTATGAATATTCTAACATACAGCTTTAGTGTATGATATTTTGACTTTATAAATATATCGTTTTATGTATCCTTACTGTGTCCTCCTGTGATGGCCTGGGAATCCAATTCAGAGGCTGAACCGGAGGAATCCCAGCCTGCATAGGGGTCCCCGCCTCCAGAGCCGGCTGAACTGGGGCAGGGCCTTCTTTCTGAAGCGCCTGCACCTGTGCTGGATCCTCAGGAGCAGGCACCAGGTGAATCCACTCTGGCTCTGGAGGTGGTTGAGGACTCAGTTCCTACAGGTGAGTCTCCCCCTGGGTCCAGTAACCCTTCAGCCTCTCCTGAACTGCAGAGGCTCAGGGCAGAGAGGCGAAGGGAACTGGTTTCTCCCATGAGGAGTGCTCGCCTTAAGGCCGGGAGAGGCGGGTCTCCTGGGGGCCGGGACCGCCCCTGGCCTCAGAGAAGATAAAGGCCAGTCAGCTCGGTCCCAGGTTGCAGGAGCAACGTTGTTGAAGAGCTGTTTCAGCCAGCACCCAGTCCGGTTCCCCCAGAGTTTCTGTCCTTGCTCGGCTCCTCGCTGTGGACCCTGCTTCGCCCGTGGAGGACTGTCTGCTGACCCTCAACTCAGGTCCTGGACCTCGCCCCATGGTAACCTCCCCCCTGGACCAGCACAGTTTGCTCCCGCCACACCCGCACTCCCCCTTCGTTGGGGTGTGTTCGGGAAGAGCCAGAGGCCATGGCTGACCAGGCAGCTGCGCTGGTGGCATTAGCCCAGGAGAACCAGGCCTTGACCCACACCGTTCAGCAGCTAAGCGATGTGGTTACGGCACTTCAGCAGCGGTTGGACGCCCTACCAGCTCCTGGGGCCTACGCCCCAGCTCCTGGCAAGTACCCAGTGGCCTTGCCAGAGAAATTTGATGGGGACCTGGCCAGCTTTCCCATGTTCCTCACCCAGGTCAAGTTGTATATTCAGGGGCGAGCCCGGAACTTCCCTGACGACAGCACCAAGGTGCACTTCTTGATCAGTTTGTTAAAGGACCAGGCGGGCAAGTGGGCTTTGCCACTGCTTCGGCAAGACTCTCCTTTGCTAACAGACTATGTGGGGTTTTGTAACCACTTAGAGGCTGCGTTTGGCAACCCTCTGAAGGAGAGCCAAGCCAATTGTCGGCTGAGACAGGACAAGTCCACAGCCACCACCTACGCCACAGAATTTCGGCTGTTGGCACAGGACTTGTCCTGGAATGACGCTGCACTTCGGGACCAGTATCTTGAGGGACTGTCGGACGAGATACTGGATCAGTTGGCCACAATGGATCGTTCCACCACGCTGGACGCCCTCATTCAGCGGAGCCTGCAGATGGACGATCGGTTGGAGGACCGTCGCCAGGCCCGGGACCACCAGCACTCCCGGCTCCTGGCTCCAGTCGTTCCCAGCAGGTCCACGGCCACAGCCAAGTTGCCGGACGAGCTAACGCAGCTTGGGGCTGCGCGACCTCGCCTCTCCCCCTCAGAGAAGACGCAGCGTCGGGAGGGGAACCTGTGTCTGTACTGTGGTGGAAGTGGACATTATGCCCGGTCCTGTCGGGAGAAGATGCAAGCCGCAGGGAAAACACCAACCTCGGTAGCCGAAAGGCCTGGCAACCTGGGGTCCCAAACCATGCAAGAGGGGCCCACACCAGTGGAATTGTGACATCTCATGGTTCCAGTGCGTCTTTACCCTCCAGGTGGGCCCTGGATTCTTACCCACGCTCTGGTAGATTCGGGGGCAACCCGCTCCTATATGGACGCTGCCTTTGCTGCTCATCATCGGGTGCCACTTCAGAACAAGCTAGAACCGGTACAGGTGGAGGCAATTGATGGACGGCTCTTGCGTTCGGGTGCCGTCACTCAGGAGACCCAGCCCTTGGTCTTGTGTCTCAAGGAGCACCGGGAGGTGCGAACTTTGGACATTGCCTCCATGCCCCGGTTCCCCCTGGTGCTCGGGATGGACTGGCTGGAAGCTCACAATGTTCAGATTGACTGGGTCAATCAGACTGTGCATTTCCCAGACCCATGTCCCCATGCTCGGTCCGAGATGCTAGCAGCCGCGCCCACTGAGGAGGCTGCATCAACGCTCCCCACTGAGTACCGGGACTACCAAGACGTGTTCGAGGAACGGGGGGCAGACCAGCTGCTGCCGCATCGGTCTTTTGACTGCAGAATAGACCTCCAGCCCGGAGCGCCCCTGCCGGTGAGTCATTTATACTCTCTTACGGAGCCAGAGCGTGAAGCGTTGCAGGACTTCCTGCGCAAGAACCTGGAGCGTGGGTTCATTCAGCCTTCTACCTCGCCTACCACTGCGCAAGTGCTCTTCGTTAAGAAGAAATGTGGGGAGCTTCACCTTTGCCATGATTACCGGGCCCTGAACAAAATTACCATCCCAGACCGGTACCCCTTGCCCCTTATTTTGGAGTAGCTGGAGCGGGTGCAAGGGGCGCACGTGTTCACCAAGCTAGACCTCCGGGGGGCCTACAATTTAATTCGGATCCAAGCCGGGGATGAGTGGAAGACTGCATTTGGGACCCGGTATGGGCAGTTTGAATACCTGGTTATGCCCTTCGGATTGTGCAACGCGCCCGCGGTGTTCCAACGGTACATCAACCACGTGTTCCAGGACATGCTAGACAAGTACGTGGTGGTGTACTTGGATGACATTCTGGTTTTCTCCCGTGACCCGGCTCGCCACGAGGGTCATGTCCGGACCGTACTGCAGCGTTTGCAGGAGCACCGCCTGTATGCGAAGCTCAGCAAGTGTGAGTTCCATCAGCGGTCAGTGGACTTCCTGGGTCAACAACTCTCTCCAGATGGGGTGCAGATGGATCCTGGGAAGGTGGCAGTGGTTCGGGAGTGGGCGGCACCTCGGAACTGCAAGGACTTAGTGATTCCTGGGGTTCGCCAACTATTACCGGACCTTCATTGCAGATTATGCTCATCGTACCACCCCGTTGACCCGGCTACTGCGTCCCAAGACGCCATTTTCCTGGGACAAGGAGGCGGAGGAGGCGTTTCAGGGGTTGAAAGCCTGTTTCCAGAGAGCGCCGATCTTGCAACATCCTGATCCCTCTCGACCTTTTGTGGTAGACTGACGCCTCCAGCACGGCTCTCGGTGCCATCTTGTCCCAGCAGCGTGGACCTGATGCACTACTGTTACCCTGCGCCTTCTGTTCCCGCC